CAGCACTCCTTGTAGATTGCTGTCGGCCCGCCTTGGGTTGCGCCCGTCAATGATTTCTTCGTAGGGGTCGTGTTCAGCAGCCAGCCACACGACCCCTATGAAGACATCATTGGCCACGAAAACACGGCGCTGGTGAGCTACACATCGCCACACCTCCAGATTCAGCGCGTTTCTTGCAGTGTAATGCAATCACAGCTTTCCCAAGACGCTCTTCGGACTGCTTCAAGCACGCGGCGTCAATTCTCTCCAGTTTATGGTGCCAATCTTGATACTTCGATTCAGTGGTCGGACCCCGCAGCGCTGTGATTGTAGAAATTACCTCCTAAAATACATAAGCTGTCAAATGCAGTCTGACCAAGGTATTTGGAGCCTGTATCAATTAATATACCTGCAAAAAGGTATTGAAAGATCCATTTCCCAACAAGACAGCCACGGCACATCTACCTTCAAGCGCCAAGCAAGCATGGACACGCCCCATCGCTCGATGCGCTTCCTCGCGAAGGAAGCTACCGTCGGCAAGATGCAAGCGCCGGACGAAGAGACGTCGGCGACGACGCCCGCAAAGAAGACCGTGGACATGGCCGACTACAACATGGACCTCGACGATGAGGCCCTTCCGGAGGTACGTCTTCCTTCCCGACATGCACGAGACTCCCCATCTCTCTCTAGGTGGAAGAGGACTCGGAGGTCGCCGAGCCAGGCCTCGCCCTTCTGTTCAAGTGGAACGACATGGACATGCCAGCGTTCCTCGCAGCAATCAACGCTCCAGCAACCGGCAACCTTGCCCTCCCCGTCTGGTTGAAGACGCATCCTCCGAACGTCTCGTTCGATTCGTTCACGACAGATCTGCTCGAGAAACTCAAGCCGAACGCCAACGACGACCGCGTGGCGCCAGGGTGGATCGCGCCCAACACCGTTGAAGAATACGGGGCCATCACGGCAGCGCTGCACGATGTTGAAGTCCATCCGTTCATCCAGGCGGCCATGGCGGCCGTGCCGCGCGACAATTGCTTGGCCGAGACGTACCATGTGACCTTGAGCCACAACGTCCACCCGAATGACCGCCACGCCCCACCGGCGCCATTGCGCCGCGTCTTCCTTTAAGCGCGTCGACCAACATGCCGTTTAACTTTATCCCGAGAGATGACGTTGTTTGCAGAGCTGTCTAGTGTGCGGATCGACGCTTCCATTGCAAACCGTTCGCAGATAAGCTGGCTAACGTTAGAGAAAATGCCGGTTCAGTGGGATAAACGATCATCGTGTTGGTCGACAACCTTACTGAAACACGCGGCGCAACGGCGCCGGTGGAGCGATGCGGCCCC